ATATGCTGAGATATATTTGAAAAAACAGCCGGGGTCACACGGGAGGAATTCTCCGTTTTTCCTCCTGCAGTGCTTGTCTTCTGTTGTTTTCCTCGACAAGGGTTCAGGAGCAGTCCCGTCCCTCTCTATTGCGTGTTTTCTGCCTGTAGTCACGACCACGCGCTGATCAACGGCCCTCAGTGTCCGTCATTCCGTAGAAATTCGGACCCGCAACCTAGACTAGACTGCAATAGAGCCACAAGGGGTTTCGAGGCTACACATGCACCAACGGCACCACCTCAGCCGCTGCTGTTTGCGTGACCAAGTCGTTCTTCTGGCACTGGAAAAACGCGGGAGGTACAGCAGCACAGAAGTAGATAACAGCCCCCGGGGGGGGGCGCGGAGGAACTACACCATTGCTGGTGCTGGTGCTGGTGCTGGTGCTGGTGCTGTGCGTCGCGAACGGAATATGATGCACGAATGCTGCTTCTGTAACGCGAACGGTATATCGAGAGTGCCTCGCTCGCCGCATTCACCGGCGAGAGTCCCTCCCGTGCTGCCGTGCTGCAGCAATAGTGCTAACCTTCAAGGGGGACAGACTGCTGTCAGCAACTTAGCACCGCCGGCGGCACAGGAATCAACCCCCGCTACTGCAGCTGCATACCAAGAGGGCCGCAGGGAAAAGAGGGGAGTGCGCCACCCATCAGCTAAGCTTGGGGCGGCGGGGTGGCTTACGCCTATTTACCCATCGCCATCCAGACCCGCACATGACGCCCATTGTACCCATCGCCACCAGGCCCAGGGCACCGGGCAGTCGGGATCGACCCAGACAAGCCCGGATGAAAGCGATTCTTCCCTGTCTCTTACGCATACTTGTCGGAGACAACGAGTCCCAACACCTGGGCGGCCCACACCCGCGTTTGCTTTGTGTGTCTTGGGGAGGCTGCTGCACAGAGCCTAAAAAAAAGTCCCCCATGGATGGTAGTGACACGCCCGTTTTTTCACTCAGCAGTTACCTGATGCGTCCCGCCCGCACCATAACCTACAATAATCTAGTAGGTGTTCGTGTTCAAGCAGCTTTGTGTCGCGGCGAACAAAGACGAGCCCAGAGCGAGGTATATGAAGAAAACCAACGACCCTTTGAAAGACAGAGAAAAACCAACCGTCGAGGAGAAGAGAGGGTGACTTCGGAAGCAGCAAGAACGAAGCGAGCAGCCGTGATTCACCCGCAAAATCTGTGGGGCGAAGGCGCGCACAGATCGAGCCCTGCCTCCGAGCACAGGCAAATCGCTAGTAAGGGATTTGGCACGTTCACACAAGTTCACAGGCAGGGAGGGTTGGGTCTCCGCATTGAATCAAACGCAAGCAGCAAGCTGCCCGTGGGCAAAAAAAAACGGACATCTGCTGTAGGAAGCAGAAGTAAAGGGCGAGCGAGCTGAATCTGACAGTACCGTGCAGTTTTCGATGCGCAAAAAAAAGCTTCCGAGAGCGGAGCCTGAGGAGAGGGCACAGCTGGCGAGAACGAGGCTCGCCAGCACTGCACGCCAGTGCCGTTGGTGAGCGGGCACCGGGCGCGCTCCCCCAGAGACAAGAGAGGGAGTGTCTTGAAGTGTCTTTTGCCCTATCGGCACGTCTATTGGCGGCTTCGATTTCAGCGGCCGCGAGGTTGTTTCGTTGTGGGGTAAAAAAGTCACAAAATAGACTCGAGAGAGAAGAGGTGGGGATCGAAAAGGTTCACCTGTTCGCGCTCAAGGCGTTTTCCTTTCGTTCTTCCGAGCTCTGAGATCCAGACACCGTTCGACTGTTCCCTGCTGCCTGCTGCCTGCCTCCCCGGCTCTCTCTCCACGGTCGCGTGACAGTCCCTCGAGGGATCGGGACGGCCTGACAGTCCAGCACACACAACCAACAAGCGGGTTAACGGCAAGGAAGGGCGGGGATGACGGCTCTCGTGTCCCCGGTTTTTCCCTGTCGCAAAAAAAAAAACGGGCGGACAGCAGCAGCATCACGAGGTTTGCGGGGTGCACATGGGGACTTCAAGGGTCCAACGCCTCTGTATGCAACCTTGAGCTCCTTACTGTTGTGAAGAGTACGTGGGAAAGCTGCATTGCTGCTGCTTTGTGGTTCTTCGATCCATCCGTGATTTGGTAGAATTTGGATCTTATCGACATGATCTTCGTGTCACGTATCGTCCGCTGATTGGCTGAGATTGACTATCGTCGGCTGAATGGCTGAATCCACGACTGCTTATGGCATCGACACGGCTAAATGACTGATGCGCGTTGTCATCGAGCCATCGTTTCTCGGGACGTCAACCTTTCTTTGCACCGTTCGTTTTTGGGGTTCTATCACAACAACACCAAACAATCGACGATGAAAGACAGGCCTGCTACTGTATGCATGGATATATATTACGTCAGGCAGGAGACTCTAGTATCTACAACACATGCAGCCTACTTGTCAATATCTACGCCGCAGGTACATGAGGGATAAAACTCTGCAACCGTCGGCGAGTGGGTCGTTGTGGCGTGGATGACTGAATGAATGCATGAATGAGAGAGAGCGCAAATGGAGAGGAGTGTCAAGATACCACGGATCATCATGTGAGGAGGGATGAATCTTCTCGTCGTCCTCGACGGACGCTGTGATCCTTTGCTAAAAGGTCACTTCCACAATACCCCTCCTCTCTGAAGGGGGTTCTCTCTCTAGCTTGCTAACAAGAGGCAGGCTTCTACGTACTCACTCGTAGTGTAGGGGAAACCGGAATCCGACCGGCTGGCGGTGATTTACGTTTTTGTTTCCTGGTCCACACCTCCACTCACTGAAAAGACTTCAGCACATCTCTTTCGACCGTGGTTATACCTCGAACAGGTAGTCTTTCTGTGAGGATATGCATATTTTCTAAAACTGAATAATTCGACACATGGGTGGATGTGATCGCGGGTCTACACTGCCACGAAAATCAGACACGCGCATCTTCTCCTGTCTCGGCGACGCCAATTCAATAGAGGGCATCGCCTCGTGATCATCTCTACAGAAAAGGGGGCGCAAATAAATATCGTTTTAAGATAAAGCTTGCTGATGGTCAGGGTTTTTCTCATAGAGAAGAAGGAAGGAACACAACAATATGTACATCCCAGCAAAGCATGTAACTCTGCGCTTTTCAACATAAACAAGCAGTTGAGGACAGGTTGAGACAAGCGCCTTTCTAAAGCCGCATCTAGGCTTCAGATTGTAGTCGAAGGGAGATCAGGCAAGAGAGGCGCAGTGTGGCGAGGGTGACGGGTGGGGCGTCGGTAAAAATCGATGAGAGGGTGTAACCACCGGTGCGACTCTCGCAGGAATGAGAGGCTCTTGGATGAGGCACCTCTGGTGAGATGTTTATTGTTCAAAAGGACAAGGGACAACGTGTCTATGCAATCGAGACCGCATGACCGAGCGCTTCTAGGACCAAGCGCTTTTTTTAGGAACGCTGAAAACTGTCACGGTAGCATGAACGGGCGCTAAATACTGAGATTCATTCCGTTTCACGATGGTTTGAGGAGGGCTAGGGTATACCCCAGGGTGTACCTGAACCATTGGCGGAGCCCCTCTAGGGCTCCGTCTCAACACGTGCCTAAGGAGATCGCTCACTGTCAACACGGCCAATCTCGGAAAAGGAACTTTGACCCACCGCTAAGAAGCAACCAGTCTGTGAGTCGATGCATGTGAGGTAGATCTGGATAGATCTTACCTAGACCCACCTTGCTAATCCCACCTTGATTAGACCCCCCTGGCTAGACTCACCGGGATTGTATCCCTTTTGCTAGCCCCAACTTGAATCAAATGGTAAGATACCATGAAACCAACCTTACAATGGATTAAACTAGTTGAACCCCCGCCAGTACTTGTTACGCTAACACATGAGTGATAGCGTTATAAACACTGTTACAAAACTCAGTCGGGAAGTACGCGACAAGATTGGAGGCAATGAGCGAACCATCACGTGATCAAGAAAAAAAAACAGGGAGGATCGGCGAGGAGGTACACGGGTTGGTCGCATGTCAGACATAGAATGGCAACGTAGCACCCGACATGGATGTCGGAACGTTGGGGAGGGTATGTATGCATATGCAGGAAATTAAAATTGTGAGAGAAAATCCGGCTGGCTGAACGATGTGGCTGAGGGTGGCGAGAGCCCAGCTTCCCGACGGGGGATATCATCGCCAGGTTGTCACGACCGGCTGGCTGGGTGTTGTTGCCATTTGTTAGCCCTTAGAGATATACGATTCTCCGGAATACTAGTGTACGTTGTCGATACGGCCAAGTACGACAACGAGCAAGGGGAATCATAGCGATCATACGAACACGCGCATACTGGGCATATTGGAGGCTCCAGTTGGTCAATGAACTTTCCGCTTGTCTCTTAAATCTTTTGACGCTTGATGTCTACCATAGATGATCAGGTAAGCTGCAGACTTGCTTGCAAAGTCTTTATCGCCTTACCCACGGTGGAGTTAGGTGGAAGCGACAGCAAACCGTGAGAGACCAATGCTGTGTTCAATCATCTGAAAGCCTTTCATCCAGGAAGCAATTTTACACCCACCCGATGGCAACGAGACTCAACCAAAACAACGTTTGCACAGTTGATAGAAGGGCGAGCAAGCATTCGACATCAACATATTGGATGGTTGTGGTTGGTGTGCGTTTAGGGGTATCGGAGTCGCAATTTCCGTCATCTCGCTGCCCCTTATCCCCACATCGTCCCAATCGATTTAGCATGTTAGCCCTTCGTCGATTGCGAGTCAAACAAGCTACCATCACGTGTAGGGGATACGTTTCAGTCGTTGAAAGCCTTCGACGCTCCGTCCGCACAAACGTGCTCCACAATTCTTTGTGTCCGTGAAAGAAGCTTACCCTCAGACGTTTCTTGCAGTCATCCAAGAAACACGCACTATAATTTAGCGCCGTCAAAAAGGCGATTATCCACCGTGTATTACGCAGTCCTGTCACATTACGGATCAACAACCCGCGCTGCCACCACTTCAACCCTCGCTTCGTCGGAGCTGTGGGAGGTAGCCGGCGTCCAGGTTATCGCTCCCCATGCCCATGCCCATGCCCATCCCTCCTCCCCCTTTCGCTTCCATTTTCTCTTCTCCGAGGCCGGCACCCCCCAAGCCCCCCGAGGACGAATTCGAGTTCGGGTTAGAAGAGCTTCGTCTCTTCACGTGCAGGGGGGACATGGGGTAGCAGCCGTTGAGCGGCGAAGTCTTTCCGATTATCGATCCGCCACTGCCCCTGGCACTTCCGCCACCACTGGAATGAGGGCCCGGAAACTTGTCCATATCGGCCACGGCCTTTTGAGCGAGAAACAACAGAAACGAAGCATGATTAGGCAGGCGTCTGTTCGAAACCTTTGTGAAGCCATGTCAGCAGCACGATGGATTTTGACCACTCCGATGCGGTTTTAGTCGACTCTCGCAAAGATTATTTATCCAACAAGGCGCCAGCTGGGACAGCGTGAGATATTCCGCTTGAGCATCAAGAAAAACCTACATCCAGGCCTGGTCTTCTCTCCGTTAACTCAATATTCGATCTCAATTTGCTACGAAAGTAAGTAGCTGCTCCAGAGGAACTTTTCGGCGCATGCAGGGATGTTGCGATGGTTGTTAGTCCCCGCTACTCTCACGCTAACCAGGAAGGCGCCAACGTCGTAAAAGCATCGCTAGCGTGAGGTAAGGATATTTAAGCAAATACACCACGGGCATGGTTCGTCTCTCCTTGCCGTGTCAAGTATTTCGAAGGGCTCTGACTCAGGTCTACGTCATTTCTTCAGTCCGAAGGACGAGTGCGTCACGCCAAGACAGTCGTGAAAGTAGCACACGGAGTACGCAGTAAATATCTTTCCGCAAGGGGACACACCAAAGTTGCACTGGTGCGGCCAATAAGCCTGACGCACCTTGGGGTCTGGCTGCGGAGGATTCTGGATATGCTCAAGCGGCGGGTACCGTGCCGAGGCCGTCGGTGGAGATGATCCGCCACCGCTCACGTCGCCCCCGTTTCCGACCCCCCCCACCGCACCGCACCCCGCGCCTCCCCCTCCTCCTACACTGAAAAGCCGACGGCCCACGCCTCCCCCAACGCCGCCACCGCCACCGCCGCTGCCATCAATAAAGACAATTGTTCCGACGCATGGGTTTCACGAAACAACGGAGAGAACCAATGGACCGGGGGTGAGGTGGTGAGCGACGGACAACGACTCAACAATTCCCACGCACTTCTTAAGTGTGTCCCCAATAATAATCCCGGTCTCGCAGAAAGTGCGGCACGACTCGTACGGTAACAGAAACACTGCATTTGATTGCACAACACGTACCCAGGGCCCAAGGCGTTGCCCGTGCCGCCGCTCCCTCCAACCCCGATTCCACCGGTGGGCGCCAGGTTGTCTCTTCCTCCCGTCAACGGGTCGTTGTCCCTGCCTCGACTCCGAGGAGCGAGCTGAATAAAAACGGGGGCAATACGGCGATGGGTTCGATACGAAACCGCGATTTTAGGGGTAACGCTGCTGTGAGAGGTAGAATACCACGCAATGGGTGCGATAGGCTTGCGGCAGCAATATTTCACGCGAACGCTGTTTGATGGGTTCGTTTGGCAGGGGATTAGCCAGCACGGGAGCATTTCCTGCTTGAACTTGTCCTTTGCGGACTTCACTTACGTTGGGATCCCTCAACGCGTCCAGGTTGACGCCGACACCGGTCTTGTACTCGGCTCGTTTTGGGGGGCCCCGTGGGAACCCGGCATCATCGTGGTCGTCACCCCCTTGGCCCCCTAGCGCAGAAGGCAAAGGTGTGGAGGACAGGTTCAAGGAGAAGTCGCGGAAGGCTCGAATCTCGTTCTCTCGTTGCCGCTCTCTTTCCGCCTGCAGTGGGGTTTAGCCCAAGGGAGTATCGTGTGGAGACGAGGCAAGGAAGGGACGATGACGATGTTTCTTGGTGTACCCTCAGAAAAACAGAAAGAAGGGCGAGAACGACACGAACGCATGGGTTTCAGAAGATGCAATTCTCCTCGTGTACGCCATTGTGAAGTTCCGAGGGAGGTTGATATCGCCTATTCTCTGGCTAAAAAGCAAGAAATGTTTGCGCCAGGTTATTGCGTCATCAGCGTCCAGCTGCCCAGGTCCAGCCTCCTCTACGAATCCCACCACGAATGCTTGCCTCGTTTCCGCCAACTAGTATTAACACCTCGTCGCAATACAACGGCGCGGCACCTGAATTTCTCGCTCTAGCTGTCGCTTTTCTTCTGCCGCAGCCCCTTGCCCTCCGCCATCGCCCTGTGTTGGTTGAACACGACGGTACAGAGAACCAAGTCCAACGTGGAGTGCGTCAACAACGGCCGAAACGCAACCGGCACAACAAAAGACCCGAAAATGATCGGATCGAGCGAGTGCTAACAGTCTTATTCCGGATGGAAAGCAGAATACCCGCTCGGCACGGAATGGAGAGTATTTTTCCGTTACAACAGGGTATGACCTAATGAACCTCGTCGAACGATACAAATAAGCGAGGACAAGGAGGCTACACGCTGTTCGAAAGGGACCCTAGAATGACCCACCCACGGCAGGATGTACGTACAACCCAAAGGGGCGGACCAACCTTCCATCTCCGTGTGTTGGGAGGTTTTCCCTCTGCTCCCCTCCCACCCGCCGCAGCCATCGACCTCCCCGTCGCCGCCCCTCCGCCGTTCAGGCGGGGCGAAACCCCCTTCATGCCGCCATCTCCGGGGCTAAATCGGCCGCCTCCTCGCGGACTCGCCTTGGGCTCGGCTTCTCGTCAGGGTGGCAGGGGAAGGTGGGCACAATGTCGGTTAGTTGTGACAAGCAGAGCAAAAACGGGTTGGAGAAACGCCGAACCGTCTCTCCTTGCCTTCCGTGCGGTTAGCCTTAGTTTTCGGCTCGCAGCCTGGGAAGGGGACCACTCGCGGGAAGAAATGGTTGGTAGTGACAGCTCTCGGGGGGGGGTGCGTGTGTGGCTAGGGGCATGATAGTCAACCTATACAAAACGATTTACGGAAGAAGAGTAACATCGGTATGTGTGGTGAACCGTGCGGCGATATTGTCTGCGTTACTGGGGGAGATTTACGTTGTACAGTCTACCGCGGTGCTGCACTGCCGTGTTTCCACGACATCATGCCACGTGCTTCCGAAATGATGGTCTTGTGCGCTACGATACTGCGTTGTCACTTACTGCAGTCTACCGAGAAGCCGTTGACACGCTCACCGTACGCCCCGAGGTCATCATGCCGCCCTCTCAAGGGGGCCGGACCCCTCCGCCCGCTTCCCCCACCACCGCTTCCGCCATCCCGATTGCTGGCTTCTCGAGAGGAATCACGGCCGCCGAAGTCCCCCCTCGACCAATCCCTGCTGCCACCGCCGCCGCCACCGCCGCCATCTCGATAACGGCCTCGATCCCGCGTGCTTTCTTTCGACTCGCGATCCCTTTTTAGTACGGGTAACGTAGATTGGCAACGATGAACAGGCAAGAGGGCACAAAGGGACACGTTTCACGTTCACAGCCCCTTGCTTGCTGATCCGCCTCTGTTGCATACTATCCCTCACGTTGCCCTACTGCCCACCTTTGGTGCTCAGTGTCATGCACATATAACAATCCGTTGCTGGTGCGGAAGGACAGCGATTACTGAGTCTGCTTTGACTCACTCGCATGGACGGATTCCCCAAACGTGGTCGGGAGTAGAACCGAAAAAAACTATTGGGAGGATTGATTTTACTGCCCGCAAACAGCCACGATTTTCCGGCACAACTGGAAACCCAACACTGAAGACACTTTCCTCATGCTGTTCATGAAGATGAGGAGAGCAACACGGCCGATTCATCACGCCCCAGGAGAAACGAGACGGCAGCAGCACCTTCAACGGCTCTGGAAAACGTGCTGAGGAGACGCTTGTCGCGACTGGACTGTGCACCGGTGTGGTCGGCCGCTTCGGGGGATACCTCATTTCCGCTGCGTAGGGAGAACACCGGTACTTCCCAGCAGCACAACTAGAACAGTTCAATATCCATTGCGCTTAAGCTGATCGATCGTTCATCACTTCGCTTCCAACGGTCGGTGTTCCCTGAGGGGGACGGCCACTAGTGCTTGGCCTCCCCGCCTCTCACCTTCCGTCCCGCGAGGTTCCATACCCGTGCCCCTTTCGATCTCGGTCGTCTCCGCCGTCACCCCCGCCACCGCCTCCGTCCCCATTCCTAGCGAAACCTGGGAGCTGTGGCGTACCGTTTTGCCATTGCTGCTCGTCGCGACATGAGGACGACAGGAACGGCTGCTGCTGTTGCTGTTGCTGCTGATGGTGGTGGTGGTGGTTCTGTCGATGCGCTTGCTGCGATGGCTGATGCTGTTGTTGCTGGTGGTGGTAGTGGCCGTTGCTTCCGTTGTTGTTGTTGTTGTTGTTGTTGTTGTTGTTGTAGTACTGCCCCCCCTCCCCACCGTATATCAAGCCGGAGTCTCTGTGATTGCCGTTGCTATGGTGACGGCCGCTGTGGATAGGAGAGCCGGACCTACCGATATTGTTGTCCACGCTGTTGCCGGCAGCGCTGGTTGCCGGCGCTCGTGCTCCTCGCCCGCCAGCTCCGCCACCGCCTCCGTACCTGTACTAGGGCGGACATAGCATACGTTACGAAGGAAGTGGTTTTCAGATTTCTATTGAAAAATTTAGGATGATTTGACGGATCTAGTCAGTTTTCCATGCCACCTGGGAAACGTGGTTCGCTTCGGCGCAATACATACTGCTTGAATGTTCTGCTTCCGCGATATCCCTTGAACGCTGGGGCGTCGATGCTTCGGAAGTTGATGTCTTGACATTTCTTCAACCAGCAACCGGACACCGGGACATAGGTAGAGAAGCCTCTAGTGTCCGTGCCGTTGTTGTGCTCTTGTGACACATGGCGTATTGCCCCCCTTCGGCTTCCTCGTGCGGGAGAGAGAAGCTTGCAAGGTGATGCACCACCCGACCAATCGAGCAGAACATCCGGTTAAAAAAAACAAAGAAGCCACAAGCATGATGAATGCCTCCTACTGCAGCTTCCGTCCCTTACCTTCCTTTTCCTCCTGAGCTGTCCCTTCCGCCCCGCCCCCCGGCCCGCCTCCCACCATTTCCTCCACCCCCTCCGCCGTTCCCGGTCCCTCCGTCACCGTTGCCGCCACCACCGCCGCCAGCCCGGCCACCGTCCTCTCGGCTGGAGGAGTGGCGGCCTTGATCTCTGCTGTGTCTGGTCAAGCCGTTCCCTTGCCCCGCGTGGCCACTAGCTCTTCGGTTCCCGCTGAGAGTTAAGTCAAGGTAAGACGATGGGCGAAATAAATCAGGGAATGTGTGCGGTGATGCTTATCGCCCCCACCCACACGTTGAGGTTCATGCTTGAGCGGTACGTGCGGAAACACCGGGCGCAGCTGGTTAGAGGTTGAGGATCTGAGTGCCTAGGGTCCGACTTTTGTGTCGTTGACCCCAATTTAAGGCGCTGCAGGCCGCGGGTCGTGGAGGGGAATGAAGCAAAGCCGTGAGACGTGACCACCCGAAAAACGCTTGATGCACGCCGTCGCTTCGGGCTAGCCACAACAAGGAAGGAGAGAGACAGACGGTGACACAAGAGAAAGGGTACCAACGACGAGCCCCGTGGACGCGCAGCATCGCAAGACTACCAGCTCGTTGGAAGTAGGACTCGCATGCTGAGTGACCGCCCCGTCACGAAAAGCGTGACATTCAAGCATTTTAGATGAACAGAGCTCCTCCGTTCACGGCCCATACCTCGTCACACCTTGTTCCAACAATGCTTAGCGCTATCTCTTGAGGAAAAAATCAATATGTGGCACTTGGTAGTAACGATTCGCCTACGTATTTTGGGTTTGACTCAGACTCTGAATCTGAGTGTTGGGCTTCACACGTTTACTGGCCCTCTGTCTCCATAACTTCCTCTACGGCATTCCGGACTGTTGTTCGTTTTTCACGGACGGTGGAACGTCCGCGTCTTCGTATTTCAGTAGCTGGGCCTCGCTTCGGTCAGCCTGCGACCGCGAACGTCGGCTTGTATTTCATGACAAACACACACACAGAAGACCGGTCCTGTGAAAAGCAAGCCGAACAAAAACAGTGGTACCGGCCGCAACAACGGCCCCCGTCCGAACAACTATTACTGCCAAGTAACGCTTTTTGAGGAAACAACGGCTATCTACGCGGCTTCTTGGGGGAAAAAAAACAGAACGGTGGTATCGGTCAAGACGTTGCTTTTGCTTTCGAAGCACGTTGCTGTTGATTCGACACATACTTGGTGGCGAGAGAAATATTTTCTCCTTGATGCTCTTACCCGTTACTCCCCCCGCCGCCGCCACCACCCCCCCCCCCTGTACCCGCTCTCCCCTCCCAGCCGCCGCCCTTGCTATGACCCCAGCTGTTGCTAACGCTGCCTGATCTCCCGCTTCCTCTCTCGCCATCCTGGAAAGAGCTCTTGAGGTCGCTTCCGCCTGATGATCGTTGGCTGTAGTGGGCACCCTGTTGTTGCTGCTGCTGCTGCTGTTGCTGCTGCTGTTGATGTTGCTGTGACCCTTGCCTGTGGGGGGTGCAATCAAAATTTCGACACCGGTTAGAGGTAGGATTAGAAGGGGACGGAGGGCGCGGATGGGATTGGGGCGAGTCCTCTGGAAATTGGTCACGAATATCGGGTGGACCGGCGGGCTTTACCGGGTCGAGTCAACCGCAACCCTGTCCCCGTTCGACCCAAACAAACAGGCACCCGCTCCCAAGGTGGCAATGGCCTTCCATGACCGTCGCCATCCTGTGCAACAGAGCCAGCAGTCGTCCACTCTGCACTGGTGTACAGCATTCATAGGGTAGACACTTCACTCGCAGCAAAACAAGTATTCCCGTGCGTTCAGCGTGGTATCTAGCTCATTCCCAGTGTATGTCATTGGACGTTTCCCCCTTGCCGCCTCACCGAGTGAATCTCCCCAGCCGAGGAACTCCCCCCGACGGCGGTTTCGGGCCAGGGGTTTGATGGGCATCCTCCCCTCCCTGCAAGTCGGTGGGCCTTCCCGACGAACCTCCGCCGTTCGCGCTTGAACCGTTGCCGTGTTGCTGTGCCGGCGCCTGGTGGTTGCTCGTCCCACGCCCACCCCCACCCGTTCCTCTTGTGTCATCCCTGAGTAAAATAAGTAGAAATTCCGCGTAGGGTTTGGAACTCCGCGCAAGGCTTGGAACAGAGCATGGTGATAGATTCTTGGCCATGCGAATGACGCTGGATAGGGGGGGGGCAGAAGGGATTTTGAGTTTTTTTTAGACCCTTTGGTACATGTCGTGTCCCTACGGAAGATCGTCTTTGTGGAGAGAGACTACAGTAACGCGGGATTCGTTCAGAAGCTACACCAACGCTTCGTAGGATTGGATCGGCGGATGGAGCAACTGAGGGTAGGGCATTGGGCGGCGGTGGGGGTTCGAGTGTATCATTTCACTCTGCACTCTGGGCATGAGCAATTCAACGTGCTGTAGATGCGAGGTGGGCGGCGATATTTAGAGTAATAAGGTCGGGAACTCGGGCAAGGAGTGGATTGGAATTTTGGAGGGCGGGCGATCGTGTTTCATCTTCCTTTCGTTTTAATTCCTCCGTAGAACGACTCGGGGGAGTAACGCGTTCGAAGATGGGAGGACTTGGAAAGATTAAAATAACAATTTTTTGTAGGATAAGCCCGGAGCTGAGGGCGTAGGACCTGGAAAGCGGACTATGGGAACTAATTGCCTTTAGGTGGAGATGCCAGAGTATCACGTCGCAGAGGCCAGGCATTGATGGGAATGACACGGACTTTCAGCAAGCCGACGTATCTCGTATTACTTTTATCTGACGAGCAGGCGAGGTCCGCAACACGGCACTGAAGCAACGAAACCCGACAATACCCCACACGAATTCCAAACCTGTGCTAATTCCCTACTCTAGGGTCACTGGCGACAGACCCTAATCACTCCCCATCACACCACCACGCAGAATCGGTAGCAGTACACCAGCATCCATGATTCCAACATCTGAAAACCACGCCACAGAACTGCTGTAGTATACAAACTTTCGGGGATGAACAACTCGAAGGACAATTAAAGACACTCGTGATTGGCGATGAAATCTTTGCGAACCTGTTGTGACCGTCTCCCCCCGCGCCAACGACAGCCGCTCCCCCGCCGACACCGCCCCCGTTCCCGCTGCTGCCGTTCTGCAACCCTCCTCCGCTGCCATTGGCGCTGCCGCCCACTCCACCCCCGAGGTCATCGCCGCGCTGCTGCAGGTGCGGGTGTCGCGAGGCGTAGTCCTCGAACAGGCCTTCGAAGAGAGGGTGGCAAACCGCCTCTCGGCTTGAAACCCGTGCCGCCGGGTCCATGGCCAGGGAAGAGCGCACGAAGGCCATAGCGCGTTTCCCGAGCTGTTATATATTCGAAGCACCCCCCCCCCGCCCCCCGCGCGGTCAACGAGGCACGACGAGAACGAGTACAGGGCCGGGGCATGGGTCCCGTGTGCATAGCAAAGCGGATCCCTGTGCTCTGTTGGTTTGTCATACTTTGTATACGTATAGAGCGTGCGTTTGGCGGTAGGGAGGGTCAGCGATACCTTCTGGCTGTTTTCCAGGTACGTTGGACATTGGTGTCCTGTGCAGCTGAGTTGTTCACCCAAGCCCCGCGCACGCGAACGCGTAAAGAGACGCTGTACCTAAGGCTCCCGGCAGACGTGAAGTACAGTCTGGTGTGTCATACTGCACTGCTATTATCCGCACCTTCCCCACAAATCTCTTCTGCAGCGTCTCCGGGCGAGACATGTCCGGAAACTTGAGGCCGACGAAGCGAGGGTTCTTGAGGAACAGCTGCATGTGCGCCTCCGTCAGGGGTCCCAGAACCCGCTATATTTCGTGAACGCACGCACCGTGGGAGTCGACCGCCGGCGGTAGGGATTCGATGGTGGTTGGTCAGCTACCACGAATCAAGTTGCTGCTAATGGTGTGTGTGTATTCGTTTGATCTATCCCGGATGCCAGTCTTCACCTTTCGGTGTGCGTCTACGGCACCAGCCGGGGTTACACAGGAGGAAGGTCAACAAGGCTACTCCACACTGGATTGAGCATCCAGCAACAGCCAACCTGGACGATGTAGAGCTGGTCGATCTCGCTGTCCCCGGGAAACAGAGGCTGCCCGTCCACCAGCTCGCCCATAATGCACCCGATCGCCCACAGGTCAACGGACGGGTCGTATCGAGTAGACCCCAGCAGCAGCTCGGGTGCGCGGTACCACCTAGTCAACGGCGGTTGTCAACGGACAAGTAGCAAAAAGGAGCGGGCGCAAGAGCCGTGGTTGGGTTTCTTGGGTTTCGCAGAACAAGTTGCCCAGCCTCAGTATCGGCAGCCGTGTCTTGCGTCATTACCGGAGCGTATCCACTCCGTGAGTACCAAGTTGGCTGTTACTACGCGTTGAGGTGACCCCAGCGGGAGCTCGGGGCGGTTCGGCGCGCAGTTTCCAAGAGGCACCCACGGGGGTTGCTAGCTTGCTGGTTGTACTTGCGCCATCTGGCGATGATTACCTCGGGTACCGTACTTGCGGCATCCGAAATTGCAATTCCGTCATCGCGGGAGCGACCACCAGCGGATTTGCTCAGTTCAACCCTCGCCACTATTGTTCTTGCGCACGAAGAAGCGCGAATCACTCAGTCTCTATACAAGAATATAGATGTAATTTATATGTCATTTTAGTTGGTTGAAAATAAGCGGGAGGGGGAGGGTCAACATTGACTCTGACCTCGTGGCCACGTAGTCCGTGAGCTCCTGGCGGTGCGCTGAGGATGGGGGCACTATTCTTGCGAATCCAAAGTCGCACAGCTTCAGCTCGTTGCTCCTCGCGTTCACGAGCAGGTTTTCTGGCTTGATATCCCTGTGAACCACACCGTTGTGGTGGCACCAGTCTATCGCCCGGCACAGCTGGTGGATGTAGCTGGACCGACGGGGTGTGGGAGGTATGCGTAGACCGGTCGGGAGGGGGGCGAAAGTAAAGGAAAACGGTTTTTGGAGCACGGCAGGACATCTTCCCGTTATGCAGCTGTGGGTTTGATGCTGATGCATGTACTGGGAAATTGCAGTTCCCCTTAACGGCGTGCGGATAATAACATGCACGGAGGACCCACAAGGCTAAGCGATGCCGCCGCTGCCAACTGAATAAAGTAGAGTAGCACGAAGAAGGGAAACGTCTTATCTAAGAGCAGCGAGCTCTAGTATTGATCCACGGTCGAAGCCAGGTGTCAGTTTTGAAGACCGTGACGGGCAACGTCCACAACCCCCAGAAGGTTTCATGTACGTACGTTTCGTGGTCACGCGACCGCACTATGTGTTGCTGTTGCTGCTGTCGTTGTCACCGTCCTCGCTGATGCTGTAGTTGTTGTTTGGTGTGGACACCAAGACTACTGTTGCGACCTCAATCCAGTCGGTCCTCGTCCTCACTACCCCAACCAAGCCTTGCAACAAACTCGCTCGCTATAGAAGACCCGAACGAATCCGGGAGCCTCAACAACGACAGGTTGCATAACACAGTGGGCGGGGGTATCTCAATATAAGAAGCATTCGAATGTCTCCCGGGGAGAGCATCACCATTTCTGAAAATGCACGCACGGCTAGGCGCCATTCCGGAAGGGGTTCATGATAATACCTTGATCCCACCCAACACAGCACATTGTTTTGCACGCTCACCCTCTGACAGCCTCGAACGGCAGTCCGTCCGGGTTATCTTCCAGGACCTCCAGCAGGTTCTTCTCGACGTATTCGAAGACGAGGTACAGCTTCCCCTTTCGTCGGAATGCCTCCTTGAGGCACACAATGTTGGGGTGCCGCAGCATGCGCAGCACCTTGACCTCCCGCAGCGTCGTCTTCTTGACAATCTCGTCATCCTATGCCCGGCATTGGTACCCCCCAAACCCGCCGCCGCAGAAACGCGCGGAAACGCACAACCATTGGTTGATCAAGAATTGGTTGTGCTGCTGATGGCGGAAGAGGTGCGCAACATTCTTTCAACTACGCCGTTTTCTTCTGTTCGAGGGAACCCTGTGATAGCGAATGTTCTACGATGATGCACGGCACTCGTTGAAGACACGGCACGACGAAGTTGCATCCTGCAGCGTGCCAGCACAATCGTTTCGCTGGGAACGCCCAAGGGATGCTGGTGTACCGTAGTGGGCCCAGCTTTTGTCGTGGTTCCCGCACCTCGCTTTCCTTGAACTTCTTGACAGCCACGACGCAGCCACTATCTTTGTTGCGACACCGCAGCACCACCCCGTACGCCCCTTCCCCAACCACGCCCAGGACCTCATATTTATTCATGCCACGGGCCCGAAGAGGAACTGCACCGAATTGATGCAAACACACAAACGAGGGGTTTCCGTTGAAGCAGATGGATGTAGGGCGAAATGCAGCCCCGCATGGGTAAGCTTGGCATCAATCCGAGGTTGTTTGCTTGGGAAGGGCTCCTCATCCGGTACGCTTGGGAGCCGCAAACAGAAAACAATCCGTTCACACCAGCCCGTGCCACGGCTTCAAAGAAAACACCCAGCCTTCAAAAGAGAACGACCATCCTTGTCAATACTGATATACAGTGGCAAAGGTCAAACACAACGCTTAGCCAGTTGTTATTGCGACCAATAAATTGCCGTAGTAGTGTAAGTGATGGCACCCCCTGCTACACAGACGTTACTTCTCCACAACCAAGAGGGTATTGCTGCCGAAAGAGGTGACTTTGGAAATATCTCTTCGAGAGCTTGTGCTAGACCTATCCACCGGCTCACGCTGCTCCTTGGTTGAGGAGCAAGCGAACGATAAAGTCAGTCTAATGGCTATGCTGTTACTCGCACAACCCCGCCGACAGACAGCGCTAAGCGTCGGCCACGTTGTCGTGGAGATTGACATGTTTGCTGCCAACCCAAGAAAACAACGGGGAAACCTACTTGATTCCACGGTGGATAAGGTTGCGACTTGGGCAATATTCTTGGAGACGTATGCGTATGTTCCCGATCAAGGAGAGAGGCAGGCACTATGAAACCCCTCAGGACTACTCGAATTTCTCCCGAGGCAACGCCGAACCACGTAAAACATGATGAACAACTCATGACGCTGGCAGCCCTTTCGACTCCGCAGTAACGATGGGCCTCGTTATTCTAAATAGTTGACTGATTGAGTGGATCCTGATGTCGTTTCTCAATGTTTGGCGCGCGAATCACGCATGATACAAAAAAAAAAACTCCTGCAATCGCTGAGGGCGGATTCAAGCCTGGCGTACATTGGAGTAGAGTATAGGGTATCCAACTGCTGTAGTGTGGAAAAGAGGCTGGAACATTTGCAACTGCGAGGCTTGAGTGTGTATTTCTGTACACCACACACCACAATCTATGGCTACGAAATCCCTCGGGTCTATTCCACACCGGAACGCAATCTCCTGTTACACGTGTTACCATTCAGAAAGTACCGTAGTCAAAACAGATTCGAGCAGCGGGCAAGATTCGCCAATACGCTAATTTATAAACTTTTCTTCATGTTTCACCGAGACTAGTCGATGGCTAGACCGCACGTCTGTTTCTAGGCTATGCCAACTTAAGTCAATATCGAAAATATCAGGGCAAGTACCGCAGCCGCGGCCACCACACCCGCACTCAAAAGCAACATTACGCCGCGTCCTACTGCCGAACCAAGAGATCCGGTACCCGACCAATAACTGGAAACACAGGAGGGTGCATTTTCTTCCGCACCAATCAGAACGAGTTCGAGGCACTTATAGTCTCAAGGAGCATGACTGCTGGATAAAGGAATGCCGACGGTGCTTGCACCAGCGCAGAGCTCACATAGGTATACGTTTGACGCGCGAAGCACGCTGACACCCCATGCAAGATACCAGATTTGCTTTGCGAAGAAAACTGCGGGAACCTCGAGAGAAAGGTGATTCTCGTCCGGCCGGCCTACTACTGAACCTTTAGTGCAACGACTTTATCACATCCCCACAAGGTGCATAAATCTAGCAGACGTCACAGATTCTCCATATAGTCACTTCTATGCACCCTCTTGATGACATAACCCCCCCCCCGACGTTGTAGGTATACAACGGGCGGTGGTTCTCCTCGCACGTAGACGACGTAGACTATACGGACAAACAGGGGTGGGCTTACCTCCCGCTGCACTTTTTCCGTCTAGCTCGGCCGGCCCAGCAGGCCAGATCGATCTGCAGCACCTCCGTGGATCAGTGGGGGCGTCGCTCAACCTTGTCTTGGCCGATGAAGGCTGTCAAATCTTCCAGAGTTCTAAACAACTAACGGAGACGTACCCGTAGCAAGCGGTGAATATGTGACTTCGTCGAACCGAAAAAAAAGAAAGCGACGGTTTCATTTGGTTCTCCTCGCGAACCTCTCTTGTGTTTCCGTTTAGACAGAAGCAGCAGCAGGCAGGATTGTGCGGGTACCTGATATGCATACATTGCATAGCAGCTGAGGCAGCAGCTCAGGTGGGCGAGCGGATGCGGCAATAAAAAGGTATCTCCAAGCCGGTGATCTAGCACCAGCCGTATCAATCTGCTGCAGGACCAGCGCGAGACCTCGTTAAGTTGCAGGCTGCATGCCAGCCTGCCCCCCGGCCTCCTCGGTACGTACTTCGGCGGCAATTTGACTGCTGTCAGCAGTCACGCACATCAACCTGGCAGGTACGCTGTAGCCGATGTCGACGGGGTTATGTACAGAAAGACACGCGTTGTGTTCAAAGGCTACCCCTGGTAGTAAGCCCCTGAGTACCTCCAAATCGCGTCGTGCAAGGACTCACGCTACGTTGGCGATGGTGACGGCAAGGGTCAGGCAACACTTCCGGCGAAACGGGCCAATATTGTTCTTGCCTGCGTTCCGATTGCCGAAGAATTACAGCAATAGACGACCGTGATAACGAGCCGTGTATTCCCGATCAAGTCAGACAATAGCGTGGCCGCCACCACCAGAAGCAACTGCTGCTGGGTATCTAGTGGTGTGCTGAAACAATAGTTGGACAACGGTGTTCCGGAGGTGCGCGAGGGCGTCGGGTAACACGCGACGAAAAATAGAGCCACCGCCGTGGTTGAAGCCCAGTTACTGCACTAAATAGCGCATGCATCTTCAGGGGATCGACGGTGCACCCCATCTGCGAAAAGCCGGGTCCGTTCTACACACATGTCTGCAAAATCCCCTTTGGTTTTCGAAGAGAATTTCTTTCGTTCAAATTCCCGAGGTTTACAAGTGTCCCACGCACACGATACTGCGGCTGCCGTGGTTTTGGAATTTAGTGCGAAGTATTAATTGCTGTAGGCATGGAGGGCTCCCAAATATATTTTTTGTTTCACCGAAGGGCCAGGCAGTTTATTCTGCCGATCTGTGTTCGACAGCAGTGGTTGAGGCTGGATCCAAGCAGGAAACACTTCGTGGTGTTTAGCGGGAGTCCGGATAGTTGAAGATGTGGCGTGAATACGTGGGCTTGCAGTCCTGCTGAATATGCAACGGTCAGAAATTCCAAGAGTACTCATGTGTTTCGTTCAGCCGGGTTGGAAACACTCAGTATATCATCAACTAAACTAAACCGCGTTGCCGGGGTCAGGCGTTTGACCCGACGCCACTCGTCGTTTTCTCCTTTCTTCTTTTTGTCGAGCGCTAATGACGTACTGCTGTTGTGGACATGATACCTATCTGATCTGTTCGGGCGGGTGCCTTGTGCTATGGCCGACGCCAAGAAAAAGGCCCGAAATAGAAAAAACGTACCGGTACGCTTTTTGAAGCCTGTATTGAAACCGACACCTGTTCTGGTGTTTGGATAACGAAAAATAGGCGTGAGCTCTGACCAGGAGATTTTTTCGGTAATATCTGCGTGAAACTCAATCGAACCAGATGGACTGGCTGTGCCGACAGTGCTCACCTTGGCTCTGGTCGATCTGCAAGAAGCCCAACGTTTAGCGGTTGCTTCACGGGTTCGGCGGCGGAGTTGGGACTTCATGCTCAACTTAACGATCACAGAGTACTTACCTAGCATGCTCTTCATCATAATGAGCCGCGAAGCGCGAAGCGCGACCGTTCTTTTCCCTCCGTTCGAGGAGGGAGAAAACAGGCTCTATGTACCAGGGGCCCAAGTTTCAATAAACGACCGCCTGAATTTTCCATCTTTTTTTACCAGCACGAGGTCGAGGTCTATAGAGCACCGATTGTCGATCTGCTGGCTTGTGAGGAACAAGAAAAAAATGACACTCTTCACCACACCGGTTTGGTCGTGCTCCGACAGCAGATGGTCGTGCTTCACCGGCATTCAAAAACCATAGGAGATTCTCACCCCGATCCCCGCGGAATTGTACAGGAAATGTAAGCCAAGGCATCGTAGATTTCCCACCCAGACACACACACGCGGTTGCTTGGTTCACACCAGGAGAAACAGAAGGAGCATTCAGCGAAACACGTAACACCGCCGGGAGTGCCAAGACAGCACTGGCGGATGAAGGGAGCCATACACAGAGCTACGGTAGTGGCGGATGCCACTGTCATTGCTGTTGCTTGGTGTAAGAGGAGGGATCATCAGTAAAAACCCAACCTTGGCCTGGGGAAAAATATACGAACTGATCCCAGCAGACGCGGCGATTTTTTTTTCGGGCTGTCCCACACTCTCCGGCTCGCGAATTCTGGTCTGTACTAGATCTTCCTGGTCTGTATCAATCATCACACAAGACGGAGCATGGGCACAGCTCGTGCCGGATACCTTTGTTATTGCTGTTTCTTCGGTGTGCGGGGAGGGGTCACCTTGACAATACGCTGTGCCTTGGGAATAAAATGTTTAAGAAGAAGAGCCTCATTTTCTGGCGGGATGCTTCTTCTCGCATGCATGCACTGCTGTGCCGACTCTCGCCGCCTCCAATTTCCGTGGGTCCTGTGGCCCCGTCGCCTCTATCAGCCGCCACACACGACGTGGCATATGAAAAGGTCGCGGGGAATAGCTTTTCAAGTGCTGCTGCGACACTCTGTGCAGAGAAACCACCGAAAGACCAAATCGATATGCAAAGCACGTGTGGTACACAGGTCTACCGTCGGTGACATACCGCAAACCCTGTTTTTAAGCTCGATCGAGTGTTCCACGACGAAGAGGATGCGTAAACCCAGCAATACGTTGTCGGAAATTTCTCGACGAGACGGTTCCCACATCACCATTTTCGGCACCGCCATTCTTTGTGGTGTGGAGCAACCGATCTTTGGAAGTTGGTCCAGGGTGTGGTATCTTGTGTCATCTACGGTATACTGCTGTATGCGCACGAATCCCAACGACTGTTCGATCGTTGCAGAGGAGGAAGAGCCTCTTCTATGCTGTGTTGTTAATGATAACTCGCATTCAAAATTCAACGATCGGGTGCACTCGCCACCGCAAAAAGCATCGCAGATAGACTACTGCAAGGTATTGAGTCCGCTACCCCGCGGCTCATTATCCCGCCCTATCTAGCACTGCATGTACCGCAAAACCTGACAAGACACGACCTGTGTGAATGCTGCCAACCTCTTCGTACAGTTTCAGCGCGGTTGGGCTCCTCCTACCCAGAACCAAGTTACGGTACCGGACGAAACACCGCCGGGTGCAACGACCGCTCCGGCAGGCTAGCCCAACGGCAACATGGTGGTACCCGACGACACAGACCGCGAGGGATGCGCGCACGATGCCTTCGTCAACGTCGGCAGTCGGACAGCGAAGAATACTTCCATCGGTGAGGCCTAAACGAGGAAATCAGAAGGTATCGACGGCCGCGAAATCCTTCCCGTGAACGTAGTCGAAAATTTTAACCATGCATGAGTTCGTCTATACTGCTGTATGGCGCTGGCGCGAAGTGTATCGTCAACGTCTGCCTCGCCTTGAACCCCGTCTGAGAGGCGCTCATCCCTCGTTTACCCGTGCTTCTCGCGTGGTGGCTCTGCAGGCGTCTCCATCGTCGCACAAGAAGACACCAGGGACCCGTCGTGTTGTCCTACTCCCCCCGCTTCTTCGTCATCAGGCACCCCGCAGAGTATGCTGTACCTAGCGGCTCTCCGCATTTACCTTCTCAACGAACAAAGCCACCACCTAACCGCCTCGAAACGGCTGGAGTCTTCCTTGAACCTCAGCGCAGCTTCCTTGCAGACGTGCCGGCTGTGCCGAGAGACGACATCGTTCCAACTCCGGGTTGACGACCGCACGCCCCGGGGCGTGTGGGAGCCCAGGGGGGAAAAGCCCGCCAGTAACACAAACCGACGAGCACCTCCGCCCGGCGCACGTCTACGCGCTCTTCATGCTCGTCCGTCCGATTCAAGGTCCTCAAGAACCCAGCGGACGGCCCCACCCTGCTCGAAGAGGTCGGCGATGGCCACCACCGGTCGTGTGCCGTCGATGAAGATATCCAAGGTATCGTGGGCAGCAGACGTTTCCAGAGCACCCGCTTAGTCCACCATCGCGTTGAGCATGGCCTCGAATACCGCGACCGAGTAAGCCTCGTTCATGTATCATGCCTCCAGCGTGAAAAACGTATAACACGCTATGGCTGTCAGCGGGCCGCAAAACCTCCTGCCTGAGAAAAAAATAGTGTCGCCTACATAGGTGGTGGAACTTGACGTTGCATGCATCATCTTCATGTTGCCCTTGGTTTTCGCAGGTATCGTGGGAGACGTCCTCTCCGGCTGAGCTATTTTTCACCCCGGACAATGCGGGGGCACTCCATTGGCTAATCGAGGTTAGGTTTGGAGAGAGCGTCAGCGTCAGCGTGGGCGGCATCGTCTGGCCGGCCAGCCTCCGACGACTAGCAATAAAACGGTCTTTCGAGATTCGCGACATGGCGTGGCCGGTTCGGCTCGAACAGCTGGCGCTTGAAGGGCGCTTCGACGAGCCGATCAACGAAGTACAGTGGCCAGAATCGCTGCAAGAACTAACCTTCGGCTACCATTTCAACCACCCGATCGATGACATCGGCCAGAAGGCGACAGGCCTTCGGGAGCTCACGCTGGGGTGGAATTTCGATCAGATCCTGGTTGGAGTAACGTTGCCGAAGAACCTTGAGGTCCTTACCATCGCTGGGGTGTACAACCGACCCCTGGATGGGGTGAAGTTGCCGTCAGGGCTCAGGAGCCTGACTTTTGGAGGTCTCTTTGATCTCCCGCTAGTCTCCGCCCGCCTTCCAGAACGGCTCGAGAGCTTCCGACTCGGATGGGCGTTTGACCAGCCGCTGTTGGCTTCTTGGCCGCCGAACCTGAAGACCCTTGCTCTCGGTTACCGCTTCAACCAACCGGTGGAGAGCGTCAGGCTCCCGCCGAGCCTTGAAGAGTTCGAGCTCGGAGTGTTCTCTCGGCAGCCCCTGAAAGGGCTTGCGTGGCCGGCGTCACTCAAGACCCTCACGGTCGGTCGTGCGTTCGATCTCACGGGGGTTGTTTTGCCGGGGGGTGCTCGCGTTTGCCGCAGTGGGCACACGGCGTTTCAGGTGCAGCGCGGGGCGAAGAGGTAGTTGCCCGAACCTGCTGTTTCGAAGTATGCCCCAAGGGCCTCAAATTTTGTACATATATTTGATTCTGCGTGGTGGGTTGTACGTCGTCTGGCTTCCAATGGAAGCAGAGGAAGCGCGGCTGAGCCGTCGGCGTATATTCCTTCGAGATACTGCTGTGCATATTAAAGTATCTCGTGCTTCTTGTGTATGCCTTTCCCACCCATGCCATGCGTGCAAACTCCCGACAATGCTGTGCTTGGATCCATTGTTTGGCAGCAGCTGTGACGCAACGATAGTTGGCTGTGGACCGCAGAGAGAAAGCTTACTGTCGATAGAGGTGCCAATGCCAAAATAACTGATATGCACAGCGGCTTGTGCACTGAGTTCATTTTTTTTCGGCGTTACTTGCTACTTGCATCAAGCGAATTATGTTTATGTACAGTAGGTCTTTGATGGCCAACGCTGCGCTCTCGCTGGTCCGGTCGACGGTTCGTTGCGGGCGTCGCTGCCTGTGTTCTTTTTACCAGCTTGGTCGTGACCCGCAGTTCATCGCGTTGTTGATGGATTTACCGAAGCTTATTGAACGGTGGGAGTTGTTTGTCCTTTTGGTTGCTGTTGTCTCCATTCGAGCGTGATAATATGAGTTCTATTGTGGCGGGTACATTGAATTGGTCGTCGAAGCATGCACCCGCCGGGTACTCCATTTTGGGTTGTTCGCATACGCACATGCGTACAGTAGTACGTGCACCCGATGCATTTCCTTTTCCGAGATATATTCTGGTTTGTCCCCTAACGGGAGACTTATTTTGCACCCAAACTCCGGATAGAACGATGTCAAGGTCCCGGGGGGCTACCTTTATTGCTACAAGAGGAAATACCAGTATGGTATTGACTACAGCAGTCGAAGGGGATGGGATGAAGTCTTTTCAGTGAGTGGGGGGAAAATCTGCTGGAAACTGGGCTTACTATTGAGTCTATTTGTGAAGCCTACACTGAATATATTTAACCGCCTTACCACGCACAGAAAATTCGGCGGTCTTGCGAAATTTCTGAAATTTAAGAAAAAGAGCGAACGACGCCTGCTGATTGGATGGTGCAGACAGTTCCATCCCTGGGTGCAAGTGTAAAGCTGCCTTCCCACTTGAGCCGTCTCTTGTCTATAATCCCTATCAATTGTCCCCTCGATGCGAGGGGACACGAGGGGACATTTGATAGGGATTATAGACAGCAACTGGCGGGAGCGTGGTAAACGGGGCACGAAAAGGAGGTTTTCAAGATATTCATCTAGAGGGAAAGCGAGACCTTCTAACTCAAGCCCTGGGTTGCTTGGTGCCTCCTGTCAACGGTGGTCGAGGTACTTCTTCCGCGCTTGCCCCTAGTAGCGCTTTCCACCCAAGGGTAAACAGACGCGGCGCAACTTCGCTGTTGAACCGGCGGCGTAATCGCCCCGCGATTCGACCTGTTCATTACCCTCATACTCCTCCACTCTACAAAACATCCATACTAGACTAGAGTCGTTCCTGTGTACCCTGGCACCCCCCTGGTCGAGTAGTGCAAAGGAGGAGACAGTCATGCCAATCTTCGCGAGGTAAAGCAGGTGAAGAAGATGGGGACAAAAAGTGTCCCCAAAAGGCGATCCAGCCCTAAAGGGGTTAAGCAGTGATGCCAGCTGGTCCTACAAGGACACATGATTTTGCCCATTCTGGGAAGATACGTATCATGTTCTGGGCTTTTCCACAGTATATGCAGAATAATGTTGAGCCCCCGTCCACCACCATCTTCAAGCACAGGTCATCGCACAAGATGCAGTGTAGGAGCGCCCCACCCACCCACCCCGACGGCCAGCCTACGCCTTTCACCCTGAGTTGGCTTCTTTGATGAGATACGCCCACAAATAATTTTTTCAGAAATTTCGTTGTTGAAGGCGTTTGAGAACCAGTTCGATTTCGCGAACCCCCCTGTGGCGTCACGAGTTGCACCACACATCACACTATAAAGGGTCTCTGCTTCTCCGAGGGGGTATACAAGGAACAAGACCACCTTTGTGCTCCTGGGTTTCGTGCCGTCACGCTTCACATGAGGCACTGGCGTTGCTTGTAGCATTTTGTCTTCTGGGCGCGCGCTCCAGGTGAGCTACAATTTCGCGTGAAGCCTTACAAAGAGTTCACTACAAAATACACCGCCGTCCGTTATGTTCATAAGAGTGCCCAAGGCGGGCGGGTGCAATGACCCACGACACTCTACGTAGCCGCTGGGCTCTGCTCCTTCCAGCAAAGGGGACGCCTCTTGCGCAACACCCGTGTGGGACATGACGCGTATTATTTTCAACGAGAGTGGCATTCGCGTTTGTTTGCAAAGGACATCATACTCGTGACGCGGCGGTGTCGTCAAAATTAACAGTGATGGCGCCGCTAACAGAATCCTCCGCTACGCATCCCACAGGGCAAAACTTGAGCGCTCGCCAAAACCGTTCTAAAGCAGCCATTGGTGTTACAACCGAGGCGCAGCGAACAACAGAGACAGCATTGCAGAAGCACCGCATCCTATGTGTTCCCCCCGCATGGCATATACATGAAAAAAGAAAGCAAACAAGAACGTACAAGGACGTACAGGCACGTGGCGACGTTACGCGGCCAATGAGCTGCGGGCCACGACATCTATTTGGTATCTTGACTACAAACACTATTTAACTGCTGTACATGCACTACATGAATGGAAGAAATGGGGACATCATCGAACAGCAACGCCTGTAGTTTGTGTTCTTGTGTTTGATGAGAATATGTGCACTGATGGGCCCAAAGTGTGTGGGAAGATTTGGCACATGACGCATGATGAGATGCTGCTGTTCCGTGATGAAAACAATGGGGCGGACGAGTCCAAAGGAGGAGCACAAGCCCCCGGCTTTGTGTGTTCGTATGTCTTATCGAAGTGTGGCATGTACTGTAGTTTCGCGTTCTCCTGACAATGATACAACAGTACCGAAGGTGACGTGAGATATTAACACCCCCCTCCTGGACCGACGTGCTCCATGGCGAAGAGCGTATATAGTATTCAAAGCAAACGACACGTTTTCGGACAGATCTCGACGAGACGGTTCCAACGCCGCCGTTCTTGGCACCATCACTCCTTGTGCTGTGGAGTAATGGAGCTTTGAAAGTCGGCCCATGGGGTATGATACCTTATAGTCGGAGTACATTGTATTTATTGCCTAGTATAAAGAGGGGCGGTATAGGGTTAGAATTAGACTACTCCAAGAATCTGGTGCGGCAACGCGCGGCCTATTTGGAAAGAGACGGTTGCCCTATCCGATTCTTCTCGCCGTGCTCGACGTGTTCAGAAGTTGATTATACTCGCACTGTTTGTGGTTGTATTTCGGGACTAGACTACGCACCTATACGGCATGTCTTCAAAATGTGTTGGGAGGAGCGTAGGCCCTGCCATAATCAACAGAACGCCCCTCCACCCCCCTCCAGGATAAGGCTATCACACTTCGTGCGCATGCGCTCCAGAGCAAACTGCGCGACCCCTAAGAGCAAGCACAATTAGGGGGTTCAACGGAACTGCTGTGGGAGTCATCCTGGACAGCAGACGATTCGAAATATTTTCAATAATTTGTATTCTTAGATGGTGGGATTGCGTCGCGCGAGAACACAAGTGCCACGGGCCACGGCGTTTCTACGTACAATAGCTGATGTCCCATCTGTAACGTACCTGTTACCAGATAGATCACCGTGTAGGCAGGCGATGTCCTTGTGCAGCGGTGCAAGGGCATGTGGAAAATTCTAAGAAATCTCCCAATAGCTGGACAAGCGGATAGGATCTAGCTGGCTCCAAGTCTTTCGTTCATTGGCGGCGCAGCACGATGATCGCGTCGGCCCCACGACACATGATACCGTTCCGAACCGTTTTCCGTGACTCTCGTTCTTGCCGCCAGGCTATGGTGGAGGGGGGGTCGCCTGGACTTGTCGCACCGTGTGCCGGACAGGATGAACAACAGGCATTCCAGGCCCTCTCTCTAGGCCCCGCTGATGTCGAAGGTGTGATGTTTGAACATTTTGAGTCGAGGCGACCTGCGACGTATCACGTAGAGTCTCGAAGAGGTTTGCGGATTCACCAGAACTTCGCTCACACCCAGGTGCAAACAACATTTCCATGACTGCTGCCACAGGTATCAAGGAATCCAACTACTGACGGTACGAGTTGTATCCACGTGAGTGCAGCTCATCTTGGTTGCTTCTGTACATCGCCACTACATGACGATCTTCGCGAACCCCAGCTCTATATTCCAATGAGTATGTAGGCCATGCTAGAGTGTTCAATCAATTTTCTGTCTCGTGCCCCCATCCCATCCTGTGTAGAACCCTGCCTATGCTCTACGCGAAGTTCGGCCACTCGCTTGAATCCTCTCACTCTGTGCGAACCCCAGGCCGGAGCTCCTCTTCCCCCGTAGCCCCCCTCGACGGCGAGACCGGCCCGCTCCCTGCGCAAGGCACAAGCCTAGCGGCCGCCGCCCTGCACGTCGTGCTCCAGCACGATCTCAGCGTCGACCGCCGCGGCGCCCCGCACCCGGACCGACGGCGCTTCATCGCGACCACGCAAGAGCTGCAGCTCGTGTCGGTCTGGCTGAGCCAGACCTGCCGAACGGTGGCGGGATGCCACGCGAGGATCGCTCGCGGAACGCCCCGTAGGCTGTGGTGCCCGCTGTCTACCAGGAGGATAACCCGGGGCCAGAGGCGCCGGAGCGGGAGCCTGGACGGCTCTCCTCGCCTCCCACCGAGACGGTTGACCTCGGTTACGTGGGAAAAGACCATCCGGTGAGCAGCGCCGCTTTGGTTGGCTCCTTCCGAGTCGAAGCAACGGCTGTGCTGGTAGAGTTGCCACGCACTGTACCCTAACCTCGGCCGATTGCCGCGCAGATCGACGCCACCAAAATACGTACCCTGTTTTACTTGCGTGTTTTTTTTATCAACGCCAGGGAGCTCGGCCAGGCGCAAGAGGTACTCTCTGAGCTGGAAAACCTTGAGTGGGGCAGGATGTTCAACGAGAGGCTAGATGTCGTCGTTTGGCCACCGAAAGTCAAGAGGGTAAGACATGTTTGTCGTGCAGAGGGTAAGGCACCGTACACATGTCGCACCATCCCCTCCTTGTCGAAGGGGGGCGGTAGAGCGCAGAAGGGTCGCCACGCCCCCAACCCCCTTCCGAGATTGGGGTCGACCAGGCGGCGTGGGGAATGGGGACGAAAATTGTCGGCCGGCAAACCATTGCCCTTGCTTCTTCGGCTGCACGCTACGCTTAAAACGACCGCGATCCCGAACGCCCCTGCCTATGACACCGCAAGAAGGGCGTTGTCCTCCTCCTGTGCCCTTGACCACTCGAACCTGTTCTCGTTTCCTTTGCCCTTGACCCGTCAAAATTAGCTGGTGTTCGACAAGCACTTTAACCAGCCTATCGGCCGGGTTCAGTGGCCTCCATTGCTGCAGATCCTCAAGTGAGTGGGACCGCCAACCCTTGGAATTCTGTCCGTTTTGACGCTTACAGTGTGCGAAAGCCTCTCCAAGAGTTTACTCGCTCTGCTGCCCCCAGCTTGGGCGTGCCAGGATCCTGTGCTACCGCGCAGAAGCTTGTGTGGCCGGCCAAAAGTGCATATGCCCGGGCAGCTATGCAGAATATCCTTTCACAATGTGTGTCGAGACTTGCGATGAGCCTTCATGGGACGTTTACTCCACATCTTCACAGGTTCGGGGATTGGTTCAATCAGAGGATAGAAGGAACTACGTGGCCGACATCCTTG